GTGCAGTGCCTATGGAGGTCAGAAGAGGGCATCAGATCCCCTGGAATTTGAGTCACAATGATTGTGAATTGCCACGTCCGTGCTGGGAACCACACTTCAGTCTTCAGTAAGAGCAGCCAGTGTTCTTAACTGCTGAACTGTCTCTCCAACCCAAGGATGGCACTAAATTTTAACTGATGAGCCTCCTGGATGGGAGGGGAGGGGACCTCTGGCCCATGAAAGAACTGAGCCAAATCAGTTTTAGTTTGGTTGAATATGGGTCATGGCACCAAGCCAGGACAGACAAGATCACTGGCCATCTGAATTAGAACTGATGATTCCCAGGGCCTCTGCAACCTCATTCAGGGTGAATTAACCCGTGGCCATGCACAGTACTGAAACCGTAAGAGTACCTGATCTCAAAATGGGAGCCATGGTCTGAAGCTGGAGATCCAGTATGATGCCTGTCACCAAGGGCTGTGCTCATAGCTGTGAGCGTTGGCAACACTGGCTTGCAGGCACTTAGCATTAAGCTTGTAGTGCTCACAGACTGGGAGGGCCATTGGCACAGATAGAGGTAGGCACACACATCACAGATAGTGCCCTCCCTCCACAGGAAGGCTCTAACATCCACCCGCAACCTATGGGTTCATATGATTTCAAAAGCAGCCTTTTAAATCAGTTCTGTACTTCCTCCGCCTGCCACCTGTATCTCAGACATTCCCCTGCTTGGCAGCCTTCCCTGGGCTCCCTCCACACAGAAGGCCTGAAGAGGAGGCTGGAATGTGTGTGAAGGAGTAGAAGGAGCAGCAGACAGACGCAAGCACTTCCTGGCTCCTGCCATGTGTGTGCAGGATTCCACTGGGTGCCAGTCTGGGATCATGGATCAAGGGATGAGGGCATTTTGAACATCCCAAGTTTCGTTTAGAGAGTCACATGTCAAGGTTTTGACTGCATCTGGAAGACTTGCCTTGAGAGTGGCTCCCACAGCACAGGCCGAGCAACTGTCCTTGGCCTTGAAGTAAGCAGAAAGCAGAGGACAAGGACATGGGGACACCCGGAAAGAAATCATTCCACCCCAATCTAGTCTGGTGAGCCAGGGCGTTTGCCGAAGTCCTTACAGGTCGGTGGGTATGAGGTTCCTTAAAGGCGCACACAGCTGCATCACTAAGACGCCCAGCCTAGCTTGGCTGACTCACACTGGGGCACCCCTGGAGCTCCCTGCACAGGCTGCAGGCAGCTCTGCCTGTCCCAGTGGGAGGATGTGCCCCCCCCAACCACTGCTGCTGCTGAGGTCACTTTAATGGACTTTGAGAATCTGTAACAGTCTGAATTTCCTGAGCCTTGTAAATGTATTTTGCTCCCAGAGTCTTATGAGTCTGCTTAATTCCTCCTGTGAGGAAATGTTTCAATTCAGTGGAAACAGTTGCATAACAGATTCGTCACAGATGGGACCGGGTTGTGTGGGCACAATCACTGCTTCCCTTTGAGCTGAGGCTAGGTTCTCAGTCACGGCTCCTAAGAGGTCCCATGTCCATCAACAGTCAAGTGTTCTGGACTCTGACTTATTGCTATAGGATGCACAGATCTCAATCTCAGTGGGATTCGACCCATCCCATGCTTGTATTTCTATTTACACATCCCAGGAGTGCATACCAATAAGGAAGTCTATAATGATTTTCAACATATTCCCAACATTCTATCACCTAATGATTTCTCCAGCATTTTTTACAGTGTGGGACTTTGCCTTTCCTGTTCCTAGTGAGTAATAATAGAAAGGGTTAAAATGCCATCAGCTTGGAGACACACAGTGGCTCTGCCTGCACTTGGTTGTGGCCTGGGCCATTACTTCACCTCTATGGGTCTCTACCTCCTTTTCCATAAAATACGGTACCTCACAAGCTGATGAGGAGATTTGTTAAAAACAGGAACTGTACATGGTAGAGGCCTGGCGTGCGGTAGGTACCCAAGATGGTTGGTTAGTCGGCTCAGTTATCTTTGCTTCTTTTTTCCGTCCTTTTTGTTTTAATCTACATCTGCCTGTTCTGTGTCTGAAACAGTGAGCAAAGACTGATCTAGATTGGCAAAGAGGAAAAATCAAGCGAAACTAGAAACCAACACCACAGATTCTTCCCCATTTTTAAAGGCGTTAGAATGGAAGTAAGGGTCAGCCATGAAAGATCCTCTTGCATTTGTGTCTCTCCTCCTTTCCTTCCCTCCCTCAGTCTTTAGTTCTCCGCTTACTTGCTCGCCAGAGTAGAGTGGCCATTGTCCCCATGATGTGCAGGGTGGACAAGCCAGAAAGTCAACAGTAACTTTAAAGAGAACAGAGCTGCCCACCACGGTTGGGCTTTTCCCCACCAGGACCACGGGAGGAAGGCAATCCATGAGCAAAGGTTTCATGACGATGGCAATAAGTTACCGCAAAGCAAGTTCTCAGTGATCTCACCCATCTGCTTTAAACCTGACAAAACCACGGTGGGCAGTTGGCGGGATTAACAGACACTGCCTGGACTCTAATATAAGAATTAGGGGGCTTGCATATGGCGTAGGGGAGACGGGGCTCTTGGCCTTGGATGTGCTTGGCTGCCTTTTGTGATACCAGGCCTTTGTTCTAAGTTGCATCTCTTTCAATCAAGAATCCAACCCACCCACCCCTGTCAAATTCAGTTTTTGTTCTTTGTCGCCCATCTATACAATGTTGTTTTCATGTTCGTGTGCTTACATGTCAAATCATACATAGTTACAATCTTGATGTTTTCAGAGCAAGACTGTCTAGGCTCTTTTCAAAGCACATTCCTCATTATACGAACAAGGAGACAGGACAACATGCCACAATTTTTCCCCCGGTAACTATAGTGCTTCTGAGGAAGAATCATTGCATGAATTAAAAAAAAAGTAGCCAAGAAAGCAACTAAGTACAGTTTTGGTGCTTGGGATGTCCAGCCTTTAAGACTGTAAAATTCCTGCCTTTACTTAGCTTCTTGGATCACCTACAGTATTCCTAAACATCATGTCCTTCTTTCTCTCTTCCTCCACACTTCCTCCACACCCTCACTCACGCCAGTGAAAGGTGATAACGTCCCAGATCTGGCTTGATGCCTCTGGTCAAGCCGAAAGCACAGGCCCCAAGTAGCCGACAGTAGCATCTCAGCCCCACAGCAGTAGGAGCATCTGGCAATATGTTAGAATTTAACCTTTCCACTGCTCAGGCCCAGGCTACGGATAGACCAAGCTTCACATACCTCTCCCCTTCTACAAAGGATGTGGGAGAGCAAGAATCTTTAGACCCACATACCAATACAAAGCCCACGATCTGATTCTTTTCTACCTGAAAACTATCTTTGTCTTTTTTCGCATAGTCATCACGTGAGGCTTATTCACTATTGCCATGAGAGTTCGTTATAAAATTAGGTCAGCAAAAATTTCCACAAAGAAAGGCACTAAATGCTGATGAGCAACATGGGGCAATCAAAATAACAAGAAGGTCTTAACTGGGGTCTTGTTAGACTTCTAAAGACTTATTTATGTGTATGCCTGTGTGCCTGAGGGCGTGCATGTGCAGCACATAAGTGCAGTACCCACAGACACCCAAAGAGGACGTGGGATGCCTGGAACTGGAATTGGAGGCAGTGGATGGAGAATCGCCTTGTGGGTGCTGGGGACCCAAACCAGGTTCTTCACCACTAAAAACCATCTCTCCAGCTCCCTGTTGCACTTTAAACTGAAAGTTTCCTGTTGGTAGCTAGGCTGCTTTTCATTCTGATTCAGCCAAAAGCGAGAACATGTCCATGTGCTTCTCAACCCAAAGAACTTCATTCATCAGTTCCCAGCTTAGAATTTGATATGTTTTCTGTGGGCTTTTTTTTTCCTTTTGAGGTCAAACACTTCTAAAGAGAAAAAAAATGGGGAGGAGAGATTCTGATGACTCTCATGTTGTTCCTTAGATATGGTCACACTGAGGAGCAGTTTCTGTATCCACACTCTCTGGTTCCCAGCCTGTGAGCATGTGGGTATCGAACTCTCCTGCAGAGAGAGCTCTTCCCGGTGTCCCAGAATCCCAGGACTCCATTTCTGTCTTTGGGGATTCAGTTTTTTGTTTTGTTTTGTTTTTTGTTTGTTTTTGTTTTGTTTTTTAAAGCCTATCCAATATCTCTGCCTGTTTGCTACATCACTCCAGTCAGAAATACTATTGTTGACTAGCATTGGGTTTGTGTTTCTCTTTTTTCTTTTTTAAATCGAGACCTCCTTCCCATAAGTCTTTACAAGCATTCCCCGTGGCTCAGCAGGTTGTCCGTAGTCTTTGCAAGGATACCTGCAGCCTGTGTGGTGATTCTTGGCAGCTTCAATGTGACCCATACTTTGCATTTGTTTCATGGTGATTTAAAAACTGGGGAAAGAGACAAATTAAGGGAGCGTGGCTGGGTGCTCAGTAAACAACCCTGCACAGGTTTCTTTAGCTGTTATCTGTGAGAGTCCTTGATGCTCACATGGTGGTCCAGAGGGTCTTTATTTACCTCTGATTTCAACATAGGATTAAAAAGTTTGTTTTTTTCTTTGGAAACGTTTTATTTTATTAATTCCGTTGTAATGAAGGCTAACATTTTATACCCAGTGACGCGTGCTTATTTGAAATGATTTATTTAAGACGTGTAACACAGCTACCCCTACCCCCAACCCCTTTTTTTTTAAACCTAGTTGCCGCTGGAAGCCGATACACTTTCTCTAACTTTCACGACCTGGAAGGGTTCCTATGCCAGGGCTGGTTCGGCCCCTCTTGGATTCTCAGTGCCTCTCTCCTCTCTCTGCTCTGGGGTGTAGGGTCTTGGTCAGCCCCAGGCGCTTCCAATCCTCTATTTGCGTTGAGCCCAGTGAGAAGAAGGATCTGCTGGTGCAGCTTCTCGGCCGGGTCGGGGCTGACGATCACGCCCAGTCCCTTCTCCGCGCGCTTTGATTGGCTCCCGAGGTCACGTGAGGGACCCGGAGGGTTGGAATTCTGACTTGTGGCTTTTGGCACTCCTTTTTCTGTTTAAAAATCGCTGGGTCTGTGGCTGTCTCCTGGGGCTTGGTGCCTTTGACCGAGGCTGGAGACAGCTGCGAACAGCCACGGGCAGCTGAGGTGGCCGTGGGAGCTCCCCCGAGATGTTCAGCCAGGTGCCCAGGACCCCGGCTGCAGGCTGCTACTATCTAAATCCCATGACACCTGAGAGCCAGGAGATGTACTTGCGATTGGATCAGACTGCCAGGCGCTCTCCCTACAGGATGAGCCGGATCCTAGCACGCCATCACCTAGTGACTAAAATTCAGCAAGGTGAGTTGCGGGGCACTGCCAGGGTGCCACTCATTTCGGTTGGCTCTGTCGTGTGCTGCTTACAAAGTTATTGTTCGCACTGAACACCGCACGGATTCCTATGCCACGCTGCGGGGCACTGTTCCAGATAACTTTAGACTCCAGTTATAAGCCGTCTGTGACAGCACTGAGCGCCGCAGAACTCACAAAAGTGTTTCCCAGTTGGACACGAATCATGAATTCCAAATCCTCTGTGTGTCAACAGAACAAATGGGAAAGGTTTACTCAGTGTGTGTGTGTGTGTGTGTTGGGTAGCTTTTCTGCAAGTAAACGCATACTCTGGTCACATTTTAAAAGTGGACACTTGTTTATTTAATTAAGGAGGGACCAGAGGGCCAGGGACTAATGTCCACCCTGCCTGGAGTTTATAGGACGTCTTCACTGAAGGGAACAGTGGGAATAGAATCTGTGCTGAAGGCCACTGGGCTGACAGCTTGAATTACATTCTTTTCCTGCCCGTGTGTTTGTGTGGATAGTCACCACTGATTTGTTGATACTGTTTTCTTGCTAAAGGATAAATGTGACTCTTCACCTCAAAGCAGAGCCTGTGACTACACACACTTAGCACTGGCCTCCTAAGGCAAAGGGACAGTACCGATGATAGGCAGTTAGGTGATCCTTTTTAATTCTCAAAGGGGGGGGACCCTTGTACCCCGAACATTAATAAAACTCATGTTTTGTTTTGTTTAAAGGCTTATAGCTTAAAACATGCTCTGTACGGCATAGAATCCAAAGGAAGCCCCTGAGCTAGTGACCATTTTAAAAGACAGACACATCCGGATCCACAGTCAGTACATAGTCACTGCCTACTGACAACAAACCTAACTAAATCATTCCGTTGGCCCCACCAGGAATTTCAACAGCAATTATGAAAATGGAGTTCCCACTTAAATACATGTATTTGAGACTATATTGAATTTTAGAGGGGAAGCTAAGGTCTGCAATCTTAAAGGATCTCACTTGTAATGTCTCCAAGAGGAACAATACATATTCCAGCCGGCGGCATCTAATGAGATTGTTTCCTTGGGAATGGGCATTTGTTTGCGAAGGTTCAGGAACTGGCTATGTGTGAAGGATACTGGTGCCGCATACCATTCTGATTGCAGGAAGGATATTAAGTCACTCCATGAACTCTGTGTGCAAGTCTCACTTGAATAGAAACAAAAGTATTCCCTGTGGCTTGATTTAAAAATATATTTAGCTGAGAATAAGAACCAGCTCCGTATTTGATTTAGAAACTTCTTACGGTGGGGGCATATTAGGTATATTTTCTGTTGGACATTGGGACTTAGTAAGCAATGTGAATCTGTCATCTGCAGGCTGGGCCAATCTCTCCTTATCATATTAGAAATAGCCTGTCTTTCCAATCCTCTTTATATGTATTGTCGGTCATTGATTTATGTTCTCTTGGGATGATGGTTATTTTTCGTGAATTACCATCGAAAGTGGATCATTCTTACATATGGCACTATAACCTTGTCTGTGTTTTATTTTTGAATAATTAGAAAATTTGAGGCGCCTCCTTGTTTTATACGGGGTAATGGAAAGATTGAAGCCAAGGGATTCCTAAAGGTTAAAAGCAACAGTTAGGAAACAGGAAAGAATTCCCACCCTCTAGTGATTCAGAATCATGATGGGTTAATAGACAATATTTAGTGAGCAGATACAAAGTGATTTTTTTTTTATCAGATTTACCATACTGGTAGATTGTGATTCTTCTCACAGCACATGTTATTAATGGAGCATTTGCGACGTATCAGGATGTGAGAGCTGTGAATGCTGACTTACTTTTCTCTCAAAAAAGTTCTAATCGTTTGGTACCATTGTAGACCGATTGTAAAGATGAGAAAACAGGCGCCTGATGCTTAGAGTCTCACAGTGGAGCTGGCATTTGAGACTCGTGCTCTTCAATGCACTACACTCTGTGTGTGTGTGTGTGTGTGTGTGTGTGTGTGTGTGTGTGTGTGTGTGTGATGAATGTTAGATAAAATGCTGGACCTATGGTTGGGTTTTGGGTTCTGTCGTACACCAGAGATCTCATAACTAGAGCAAGGAGTCCATTACAGAATCCCAGCTGGCGACTCACTGTGTGATTCCAGTTAGGTTTTACTTCTGTCGTGGGAGCAATGTGCTAAGAGTTTGGGTCCGTTCGGATGGTTAGTACGCAGATTACTAACAACCTTTAATCATTCCATTAAAGTAGAGTTCATATAAAATTAATGTATTATATTTGTATATCAACATCTTAAAATGACAGTCACGGCAGCAAAATTTCAGGATCTTGCTTTAGATCTTTCAAAGAAACTTTTCACTTATTAATATCATTTGCGGCACCACGATTATGATTTCTTGTGGCTGGGGGGGAGAGTACAGAGAGGAGCAAGTTGCTCTCTGATGACCTCATTCTAGTGAGCTAATCATTGAATGGCATGGGCATGATTCAACGGCAGATACGCTCATGGGGAGAGAAAACAAGGGAGAGAAATAATGGAACCCTTTGATGATGCCTGAGACCAGAGCTGTTACCAGAATTGTTCCCTGAACCCGAGATGAATCGAGGCTTGCTTGTCTTAGGGTGTACTCCAAAACATGCACACATCATTTCTCTAGCCTCTTATACAACTGCTCTGTCGTTAATTCCAGTTAAAAAGAGAGAGGTTTACAACAGAGTGCTGGACAGCAGAGCGAGAGCCCGCCGGAAGTCACGTTGCTCTGATGGTCCCCCTCTCCAACTCGCACTTGCTTGACTCACTCTGGAAATCGTCGTGGCAGAAAGAGAAAGGAGGTGACAGTGGTCCTCACCAGGCCCTCACTAGCTGTTTCCTTCACTAGGAAGGCACCGTGGAGAGAGAACAGAAGATGTGGGTGTGAGGTATAGTTAGGCCATGGCAAGAAAGAACTGGATGTTTCCCAATGTTATCATAGTAAAATACACACAACCTAAACAGCAGCCGCTTTAGAGTGTGTTGAATGGCCGTCCTCATCGTGTCTGCGGCCACTGTTACTGCCCATCTCTTTACATCTTGCTGAAACCGAAATTCTCAGGACGGCTGTCAAACACTAGCTTCTCTCCTGCCTCCCATCAGCCCCTGCCTAACACTGTCTTGCTTTTCTCGGAATTCCAGTATTTTCACCAGATTTGTCTCCTTCCGAATGCTGGGTAGTATTCCATTGTATGTCTATACCATACTTCCTTTTTAAAAACGCAGTTACCATAATTGGTGTGCTGTAGGAGAGCTGGCCTTCCAATGTCGTTATTTTAGTATATCAAAAAACCATCATCTTTTCATACACACACACCCTACTTGCAAAAGCCAAATCCAAGCAGATCCATAAATGTGATTATTTTTGAAGAAATCTATCATGCTTTTTATTTGAAATTCTCAAAAACCATCATGATATGACCCAGATTTCAGTAAAATCTACCTACAAATGAAAAAAGAGGCAGGGATCCAGGCTCTGTTTCAACACTGTCCATCTATATGATAGCAGTTTCCAGGATATCACTGGGCCTTTGCTTGTGAGTGAGCAATGTGGACAGATTATGACTTGTTCTAGAATTCTCTGTAGTCATATCAGTAATTCTTTGACTGCAAATAGAGAAAGCTGAGGGACTTAAATACAACTTGAGAACAACCACAAAGGAGTCACTGTATCTCTGCCGTCTGTGGGGTCACGGGTCTCTGCCGTCTGTGGAGGCTTCTCTGCTGTCTGTGGAGTCATGGCATCTCTGTCGTCTGTAATCAACCAGCACTTCTAATTTTTCTGTTTTCTGAAGAAAGCAGTAAAGCGAATTCAGATTTTTGATTTGCTCTTGCTACTAGCTTCTCGTGTGATTTCGGGGAAGTCACAACTCCCCTGAAATTTCTTTCAGACAGCAAGGATTGGATTAAGCTCTCGGTAAAGTCCCTTCATGTCTGAAGTTGGAGAATCCGTGTTCTCAGGTATCCCTCGAGAAAAGGACGACTCTTAGTCCAGTTTCCCTTATTGTGTTGCTCAGCATCCACTTGCTTATGTCTGATCCATGTGCTTTTGTTATTTATGTCCTAAGACCGTAAGAATGTGCAGTCTGTGTTCTATTTAAATGTTGTAATTACTATAATTATAGAGGAACTTTTTTTCCTCAGGGGTCCTGGCCTTAATGTGACATTGTTGTCATGTCCAGCTGATATCAGGGGTGTGGAGAGTAGAGAATGTCTGTGTGTGCTCTTGGGCTCACCACAAGATTTCTATGCTTGATAAGAACAGAGAATTCAGAAAATCTCACTGCCAGGGAAAGTAGCGGACGTTGGGCTTTCGTTTTTCCTTGACGTTTAATCTAAGATGAATTTAAACAGACACAGTGACTGCCTTGAACTTAGCTAAAGTGGCGCATGCTCAGTCCCCAGCTAAATCAAGCGGGTGTGAGTGGCATATTTTCTTGCCCTCATTACTCTGTCAAATGGCATCTTGGGAATTTGCCCAACCTAAGTGGTGAGCACTGCCCGTCCCCGATGAGTGAGGACCCTCACCCACCACACCCCGACTGGACAGTGTCAGCCTAAATTAAACCATCATTTGTTCCCCTGAAATATTTGGCCCTCTCTGAATCACAGAGTGACTGTGACGCAAAGGAACAAAGGAAGCACAGAGAACAGGCTAGGAGCCCGACCATCGCCCTCGTCCATCCGTCCATGTTGCCCAAGCTTCTTGAAAAAGAGAGCGTGGCAATTGGCATAAGTCACATTTTCTAAATCAGAGTCTGTTTCTCTTGAGTGGGGCTTGCTGGAGGGCCTGTACAGAGAGGGTACTATTTAACCACAGTTACAGGAAAACAGGCTAGTGGCTTAGCCACACAACTGCTCCCAGTGTTTAGAACTTGACTACCTAGTAGAAAGAACAATGTGAAGGTCAACAAGTGTACCCCAGAAAGAAGTTAGAGAAAGAGAGATATGCTTATGAACATAAAGGCCATGTGTCCA